CTCCAGTAGACCAAGACCTCCCAGTTGACCAACCTCTTCCAGTTGACCCCAGTTTTCTCTCCCCGGTGAGCCCAACCCCTCTCCGGCGGCCATCTTGCCCTACCTATCTCCTTCCGGATGGGCCTCTTGATCTCCTCGTCCAGTTCCGGAAGTTTCACGGTGCAGGTGAAGGTCTCACCAGAGTCCCACTCGTCGGCGCAGAGCTTCAGGCTGCTGGAGACGCTGTAGAGGCCGTTGGCCAACTCGGACGGGGCGCCGGGGGTGACCTCCAAGGCGGCGCCGGCCTTCTGGCGGCTCCAGGAGAACTTGACGTCGTCGGGGGACTTGAGGTTGGAGGCCACGCAGGTGAGGTTGGCGCTCTGCTGGAGGTAGAGGTCCTCCAAAGATGGCGGCAGGATGGTGACCTCCACGGTGGGGTTAACTAAGGAGGGGGGGGGTGGAGAAGATCTTTTTGAGCGTCCGGGAAATCTTCGAGGGGTTCTTCGGGGGTGTCCGACCAACCCAACCACCAAGGAACCATCAAGGAACCATCAAACCCTCAAGGAATCATAAAGGAACCGTCAAGGAACCATCAAACCATCAAGGAACCATCAAGGAACCATCAAACCATCAAGAAACCATCAAAGAACCATCAAGGAACCATCAAACCATCAAGGAACCATCAAGGAACCATCAAACCCTCAAGGAATCATCAAGGAACCATCAAGGAACCATCAAACCCTCAAGGAACCATCAAGGAACCATCAAGGAACCATCAAACCATCAAGAAACCATCAAGGAACCGTCAAGGAACCATCAAACCATAAAGAAACCATCAAGGAACCATCAAGGAACCATCAAACCATCAAGAAACCATCAAGGAACCGTCAAGGAACCATCAAACCATAAAGAAACCATCAAGGAACCATCAAGGAACCATCAAACCATCAAGAAACCATCAAGGAACCGTCAAGGAACCATCAAACCATAAAGAAACCATCAAGGAACCATCAAGGAACCATCAAACCATCAAGAAACCATCAAAGAACCATCAAGGAACCATCAAACCATCAAGGAACCATCAAGGAACCATCAAACCATCAAGGAACCATCAAGAAACCATCAAGGAACCATCATGGAAGCATCATGGAAGCATCAAGGAACCATCATGGAACCATCAAACCATGGTGGAACCATCCAACCTTCATCCAACCTTCCTGGAACCATCATGGAGTCATCAAACCATCATGGAACCATCTTGGAACCACCCAATCTTCATCCAACCACCATGGAATCATGATGGAACCACCCAACCTTCACCCAACCTTCAT